CATGGGCTTTGGATTACATGACGTATCCTGTCTATTATTACATTGGTTCCCTGCATGGCAAATCAACGAAGAAATATCGTGGTTTATTATCATATTCTAGACACCCAGTACTAATATATTTTTTCATGTACTTACTTATACTTCGATACTATTCTCAAAGAAGCAGGGACTACTATAACAGAAAAAAGTCTTCAGGAAGAAATATACGAACAGATAGCTACCACAACCTAAAAATATCAAGCGCAACAACTTACTATAAAACAATATATAACAAGGAAAATCTATGTTGGTCAAAAAAACTAATATATCAAAAAGATGGGGGTAATGAGATACATATATAACTAAATAGCCTTATAGCCTTAGTTTTTGTCCATGCAAACCGTGTCAACTCGAACGAAACGAATGAATACAATACAACCACAAGTTATATCAAATCCCAAAAACAGCCAAAGGTAAACTGGAAACCCGAAAAGCTCCTTCCGTACTCCGATTGCTGCTTACACCATTCGCAATGTTCCATTCCCACAGCGCCTGCAGAGCTCTGTAAATGTTCTATCAACAGAAGAAAGGAAAAATTTAAAAAAAATTAAAAAAATATTGATGATGAGTGGGAGGACCTGGCGTGGAAAATCAACTTATATGACGAAATTTGGAGAGGGAAAGAGGGAAAAAGAAAATAATGGGCCCCCAGATATGGCAAGCAACAACAGAGATACTAGTAATTAATAAAAAGGTATGTATGGTGGAATAAGGTACGGTATTCATACAGGCACTATCGAACAATAACCCGTTTTCATGTTCGTGAAATCACGGCAGAGTATCTATAAAAACTCCGGGGAAAGCAAGGTACGAAGTAAAATAATTAATCGCATTGGAATAAACCGGTGGCGTGGAAGGAAGAACAATCGGTACACTTCTCAATAGTCGCGATCAAACAGGCGTAGTCCATGAATCCCCGTTCAATTTAGGTTTCATTTCGTAGTTCTCTGGTTCAGTGCTTTGCGGCCGTCGTATTGTTGAATTGGGGAAAAATATGTGGGGCGGTATGTGCGCTGAGTAAGGAGGTAGTGATGGCTCTGGGTATGAATACTCAGTTGCTGAGGCTGACCCTGGCGAACTGATGCTGTTAAGTGTCGGAGATGCCCACCCCATGCTCGAAATGTGTGGACTTCCAGCTACGCTATTGGGGCGAGGATCACTGTTGGCAGGAGGTTCAAGAGGTTGAGGTGGTCGGTATCCACTTGGGTGGGAGGTCAAGGAAGGTCGAATGTGGGGCACGCTATTGTAGGTAGAAAGCGGTGGCGATGACGTGGATGGAGATGCGCGGGGACTGGCCTGTTGGAAGTCACTTCGTAGATGTGGAGGTATCGAGGTATTATTGCCCATATAGTATTCGCCCATTTGGCGGTGTAGATGCATTGGTGGTAATTCATTCCCCGGAGATGCAGAAAGACGTTGACATGAAGGTGTCGACTGGGCGGATCCAGGTTCTGAATAAATTCCTTCAAGGGGGCGAATACTTCTCTCTTTGTTTTGACGCAGGTTTGCTTCAGTTTGAGCTGCAGCCTCTTCGATCGTACCAGTATGGTGATTTTGATGCCTCGTCAAAGTAGTCCGCCTCGTAAAAGTTTTTTGACAATTTGCATACGGGCATTTGTAAGGTCGTTTTCCGGAATGTATTCTGCGATGTCTGCAAGGGAGCTCGAATCACTAAAAGGCTGTTTACATATAATAATCCCTTAGTATCGCTGAAGAACAAATATTTTCTGAAAAGCGATTTCTCTTACCTTGCCACATCGGTCGCACATGTGCGGTTTCTCGCCAGTATGGACTCGAGTATGGACAGTCAATGCAGAACGCTGGATGAATTGCTTCCCGCAACCCGGCCAGTCGCATACGTGAGGTCTGATTCCACTATGAATCCGCTCTAAAAAAACAAAAGAGAGAGATGTTAGACGCCAAATCACCAACTGTCGCCCCGTGAGGTGATATTAATCTTACCGTGCCTCGCGAGATCACTCCTCCGCGCAAACCCTTTGCCGCAGGTCGAGCAATGGAAAGTTTTGGGCGCAGGTTCTCCATTTGCTCTTGTGCGTCCGCTACTGTCATTCTGAAGATATTCGATCTTCCCCTGGTCGTTCTGAATGTAGTCGGAACGGGCAGCTGAATTTACAACTGAGCTCTGCGGCGGAGAATGATATTGGGGGATGGTTGATAGAGGCTGAGGTTGCGAGGTAGGATTATAGATATTCGGCTGGTCTCCGTTTTGTGATGTTCCGTTTTCAGAGCCCATTTCGGACGGCGATTGGGATTTTATGTGAGTACCCTGAGCCAATTGCTGCTGAAGCTGAGCTTTAGCGGCAGCAGCAGCAGCAGCAGCAGCAGCAGCAGTCCCCTTCTCGTTTAAAATCGTTGGGATATCCATAGCCAGCGCCAGTAACCATTCAACTGAAAAGAAAATAAAGACTGAAGCAGTCGCGACGACTAGAGGCTGTCTGTCGACAATAGTTTTGTAAAGCCTCCTTGATTGTTAGAACAAATATCTCGTTTTGGAGAATCTATTTCCTCAATGATTATCTTCCTGCGCACGGAGATGTTAAGTTAGTACATAGTCAAATCAGAGAGCAACAGATCGTTTCCAAGAAAACCCAATGGAAAAAAGGGTTCAAATAATCCTAAGATAGATAAACTTAGGTGGAGAAGCATTGTATGTCTGACATGAATGGGATAAACAGTAATAAATTATATAGCAGCGCGGAAAATCAATAAAAACACACCTTCTATCACAAGTACTAATCCTTGATCGCGCGAAACAATCTAACAGTGATATCTCAGAGCTATCTCTCGGGAGACAAACGCGAGGCTGGTAACGTGAATGGATATCAATCAATCGCGAGCTTGCTCAGAAAGGTTGCATCGGAGAATTTTGTAACACACGGAAGGCGCTTGGATTCATATAAATATCTCTCGAGTCGTCATGTACTTTCTAGGTCGATGTAAGACTGGGCTTAAGGATCAGAAGAATGTCTTCTGAAAAGGTAACGGTAGCTCGCAGCGTGCGCAAGGAGTCTCCCGCAACTGGCCACACAAATTCACAGAAAAAACCTCTCCGTCCAGAATGTCACAATCCTATGGCAGAGATACGGGGACAGCGCAAGGGTCGCAATCAAAATGTAGCTCAACGCAGGTCACACACGCTTGGGGAGGACGGATATCCGCAGATAGTACTTGGGCTCAAGATTTTTTTCCAGGCAGCTACAAGCCGAGGTAGGAACCACGCGACGCAGTAGCAGCACAGACGGGTTACTGAGCAGGCTAACCGGGCGTCTTCAAAGACCGTTTTGTGTCTCCAAAGAAAACTCCGTGGGTAGATATGCGGGGGAAAGGATGCAAAAGGTGTCACCGGGCAGGCAGGACAGAGGCCCTGTTGGAGCGATCCGGAGAAACCCGTTCACGAGAGAAAGAAACTGGGCGTTCTGACAAAAGAAAAGATCACAAAATTTCTGATATCCACAACTTGGTAACCTCTTGTAGTGGTGTGGTATGTTATGTCGCTGATGGAAGGCGAAAGGGCGGTCGAGATTCGAAGGCAGATAATACAAGAGGTTTAAGAGGGCAAAAATCAGCGAAATCAGATCACTTGGGCGCACTTTTATAAAAACCATTGGCGACGAGGTTAGCAACGGATTTCACGAATGCCAATCAGACAATTGATGTTACAGCAGACATAGCCACACCTCCATCAGGCATTCAATATATATCGCAGGCCGTAGACTGTGACCACTTATTCCCAACAGCGACAGACAGAGCAACGCGAAAACAACTCAGGGCGGGCTACCACAGGAATGAGGAACAGAGAAACAATGCATTCCAAGTCCCACAACAACAAGGGCTAAAATGGTCAAGCCAGGGATTGAGCAACTCACCAGCGACAAAAAGGAAGCCGAAGCGAGACGGGAAGGCTGCTGCAACGGTTGGACGTGCAGGAGGTCGAGGAGAATGTGGAGGTGAGGGGAAGCAGCTGCAGGGCAGGGAATAGATGTAGTTGGCAATGGAGTTTGTTGGCCAGTTGGTACGGGACGTGGAGGTACGGCGATGGTGGCGAGAAGTCAAAAGGTGTTTTGTTGCTAGTTGAGAAAAGTGTCGTCTCCGGTAACATACTACTACTACTACTACTACTACTACTACTACTACTACTACTACTACTACTACTACTACTACTACTACTACTACTATTACTACTACTACTACTACTACTACTACTACTACTATTCTTAAAGGGCGGCGGGCGGCGGGCGGCGGCGACTCGACTAGCCTTAACGAAATCGCCAGCGAGCTCCCCGGCTGCGAACCGCAGCCAGCGAGCCAACAGCAACACACCAGCAAGTCGACCACGGCCGCGCGCCAAAACGGGCCCAGGGTGAAAAGAAAGCCCCCAAAAGTTTCTGGAAGACTGCTGAAGGACCCTGCACCGGAGACATGGCGCCAGCGAACGATTTTTCAAACCAGTCACGTCTCGGTGGCCCGTGGGTCGGCGGTCTTGTAATCTTCTCTTTTATGCTCTTCTATGATCAACTTAACTTTTGTGCCATGAATCCTATGAGGCCTTACAAGCATGGTGATCGCAGGGCGGTCGAAAACATGCTGATGATTCATACACTGCCCATCCCGTGCGGTAAGCCTGGGCCACAATCTAGAGATAAAAACCCCGTTGAGTTTCCCTGAAAAGATGTCAGGCTGGGCGGGGTTGTGGATGCACACCACCCCAACCCCCTATGCTATATTGTTGTGGAAATACAGTAATCACACGCTCTCGTAGCATCCAAGCCCGCCTACGTCTTGAAATGCAGACGTGCGGATCCCTACACGAGACATAAAACGAGGGGGCCAGCATTCAGCCCAACCGACTAGTGGCATCAAGATTGGGAGGGTGGTGGCACACCAGTCAGTCGGGGGCTGCCAGAGGACAGCTCAAGGGCTCAGCATTGCAGGCAAATATCGACCGACTGACCAATGTGGCCGATTTTTGAACTGCTGGTTCGATCTGAGAATTTGAACCCGCATGAAAATCATCTCTGTTCGCAATACGGATTACGGAGGATCCATCTGCCTAAGGGGCTTTCCCCCCCTACTTCCTCTAGTGCGTCGCTAATTACTTTAGGCAATCTTCTCGAAGAAAAGACCTGCAACCATTCAAAACTAGGGGGCTACTTGGCACGCTCTATTGTCTCAAAAGTCAAATCGTGGCGCATCCGCCTCGAAGGAGGATCGATGCCCCTGCAGGCAAGAGGACGTCAACAGCAGACAAAGTGGAGTCAGTCCGCCGAGTTGATCAAAGCAGCCCTCCTCCAAACAAGAAAACCAATTTTAATCGAAGTTGCGAAAAGGGACTCCCAAATGAATGCATCATTCAAACAGGGTTGCAGGCTGTTGTGGAAGCTCACAACGCAGCCAAAAATTACTGGGATCCATGCATTCTAGCTTCATGGTCCGAAGGTCTGTGGAATCTAGAAAGTTGTGACAAAGGGACTTCCCTCCGAATCTCCGATTCCCTCCTCTTTTCCTGTTTTGCTGGGGGCATTGCCATAATAACACCGTGGCGTTATGATGATCCCTGTGTATAGGACACTAACGGCAGATGAAATGGCGTGTCGCATCCTGAAGGTATGGCGAATTTCAGGACGCCACCCTTCTCCCCCAAGAAGTGCACTTACATACAACTTACAGACCTTTTGGTGTTTCGGGGGTTTTGGGTTGGAGGGTACCCTCCAGGGCACACTGAAGTTACAAGCCATAATCCTCGTCGATTTGGACAACCTCAGTCGACTTCGGTGAGGCTCGGACATACTATCATCCCAAAGGATGCATTATTTGGAAGGACTTTACACTACAAAAGCAGAAGAAAGAAACTGCGAACTAAAAATTATTCTTTGAAGCCATAATTTCCAGAAGTTTAAAATTTTTACACTCCAGTCACGCCAAAGCTCGTTTTTAGCCTTTATACGTTAAATAATTTAGAGCGAGCTGCACCATCGGCACTAGGATGCAAAGACCTTCCCATGTGTAACACAAATTCTGTGGATCCAAATGGCAAAGAAAAAGCCACTGACACAGACATGTAAATGATGGCGCAGTGCCCCAAACCTCAACTTCTAGAAAGGCTGAAGAAAAATGGGGATGGGGAACTCGCAGGACTCTAGCCTCCTGCCATGCTCTCTCGAGCTAGCGATGTTTTTCATGCTCCCATGGCCCCAGCATGATCCAACCCATGGCTCGCACTGGTGGAACCGGGGCGTTTAGGCCCGCTGGTGAGCAGGTCCCTTCGTTGTCTATGAACAGCCTTATTTTTCTTATTTTAGAACTTCCTTGTTTGGGACAGGAATTTTGGCGGGGGTTTCGGGGTGAGATCCTGGTCAAAACGTAGGGGGATTTTGTTTCCTGGCCTTTGGTGGCCCCCTCCCCCCCTTTTCAAGGGTTCCCCTTTTCTTAGTGTCCCTTGCTTGATCTTTGCTTCAGCGGTCCGCGCCCGAGGCAGAAGAGGAGGAAAAACTTGTCTCCTTCCCTACCCTTTAACCCGAAACAGGAAGAGTCCAAAGCAACCAAGAGACGAAATGTCACCGCCACGCACGGGAGTTCATGCACAAACATTTTCCAGAAGGGGAGAATTAAATTTTTGGCGTGTCCATGTGGTATATATCCCGCGTAGCTCGTCCCCCATTTCTGACTCCTTTAACCCGCTAGATAACATAGATGCAGAGTACTCCGTACCTAGTGATTATTTCACCCATGCATTTACCAGTAACTTGAAACTTTATCCATTTTCCAAAACCAGATTGGCCTGGTGTAAAGCCTGGTGTAAAGCCTGGTGTAATACAAAAACAAATAGAATGAAGTAATAAAACAGACAAAGTTACGGCAAAACACCAGCTATTCATCGTAGCATGGAAAAAAGGTGATAATATCATGCGTAAACAACAGATATGTGGTTTGAATCAGACCAGCTGGCTGGCGGGCCATCCCGAAGTTAGTTTTCTGGTATCACACACCATTTCCAACCCTCCAACCCGTAACCATTTTGCTATGCCCGACTTCCCCGGTTTACATCACCAAGTCGGCAAATTAGAATCTGTCAAGCCAGCCCAATCGAAGGGATTGACGATGTGGCGCTTTGGAGAAAAGGTAACCGGAAGACTGGCTCAGAAGCCGACCCTTCTGGCATCCGTGGCAAGGCTCTGGAAGGCTGGCCGGTTATTTTTTATCTTTATCAATTTATCCAAAAACAGAATCGGTGGAAAGTGTTGCGGCGATACTTGCATAGATGATTCCTTGGAACTTCCCAACACTTTACGTTAAGACCGCTGATTTCTTTCGCGAGAGTGAAGAGTCCCTCGGGGTTTGAGGGAAAGGAAAAGAAAAGCATTAATGGGGAATTAGGCTTCGAGATGCGGTTCCTCCTCAGCATGAAGCGCATTCCATCTTATTTGTAACGATAAATATTAATTAACGGTGGTGAGCTTCGAGAACAGGAAAAGCAGATTCTAGTGTGTAATTGGCGCACTGTTTGCAACAGCATCATCTTCACGCTTGTCCATGGTCAAAAAACGCCCGAAGCTTCTTCGCCTGTGCTTGCCTCTCCTACTAACTTTATTTACAATGACCTGGTCATCATTGTCTCATCTCACCACCACCTGCGTCGACGGCGTAACATGCACGAAAAACGATGGGAGTTCGTATTATGGCCTGTTATTCTATTTGATGCACCCAAGTCTTTTGCCGATGTTTCAGCCCTCACGTTTCATACTTATAGCAACAATCATAGCAACAACAACAACAATAATAATAATAATAGTTAACTAATATTTAGTAGCTAACAATAATGTGTATGTGTCAAGGCCACCAAGGTTTTGTGGCCATGACGCCATATTTTGGAGAGAGTTAAACTTAATTGAGAATTCTGCCAATCAAACCCTTTCCTACTCCAATTGCCGAAAGTTCCTTGTTCGCCTGGCAGGGTTGGAGTGTCAGCGCTATCCGTACATGTTTCCACCTCTCCCCTTCCTGGAAAATACGGAGTCAGCACCCTATCTCCGCACATCAACAATAATACGAAGGCCAGTCCTGCCAGATTCGTTTCGAACGTGCAGCCTCCACTACGGAATTGCGTCAAGTTCCAACCAGTTGCTGTCGTCGGAACCCCGGTCGTGCGATTTAGCCTTTTGGAAGACGTCTTTTATTGGCTATTATTGGCCACGCCCTGTCCATAGTGTTTCCACGACCCTTCCATAATCCTTCCATCATCCTTCCAGTCACCCTTCCATTACCCTTCCAGAACCCTTCCAGAGCTTCCATTTAAGTTTAGTGTCTGTGCTAGCCGACAGATCGGGAATGGTCCTCGTTTCAGATCCATTTTAGCCATGAGGTCGGAGACGCCACAAGCTACCAATTCTTCAACCGTTCAGGCCACAGGAGTAACATGGGAACTGGAACGGGGGGAGCTTATCGTTCTTGATGTGTTTCAATCTCCCATCTCTCCGCTATGAGTTTATAAATCAAAAACCCTGATCTGTCCGATATGCAGCTTGGATGGTCGGTCACTTCCCGCTTCACACGTGCTTAGTCTTATATGATGTTAGCTTTTCATCTTCCTCACACCTTTTTTTACCCTCCTAGCTGAGTTCGCTCTGGATGGAAAGGCATGCGACCATTAATTACAACTCTGAAGAATTCCCCCCTGAAGAAAGCCCGTCAGTGTCAGAAAAAGAGATCACTGTGTGAGGTACGAAGCATTCTGCAAACCCAGTCAATATATACTTGTTACGGGCATAATGTCTTCCCTGACGCAGAATATAGAGGGAAACAGCCAATTTGTCAAAGAGCCAAGGGCTATGCCGACTAGTAACGAGAAGCTATGACAAGGCCGTTCTCATTCATGCCTTCCATCTCCTCTCGTTGTGAATGAAAAAAAAAAAAAAAAAAAAAAAAAAAAAAAAAAGCTAGTTGAAGATTTAGTAATACAAAGAGAGCCAAACTTCGGGGATGTATGGAGATGCGCCAACCTTGTAATTCAAACTGCTATCTCCTGAAAAGTATGGAATGGGACATACTTTATTGAGCCCTTTGACAAATCGAAATATCAGGTCCATTGAGGAGATCTTCAATAGTAGAAAGGATCCGGCAATATTGTCGTAATATTAATCGAAGATTACTGCGATAGTTAACCATAATACAACTTACACAAGGAATTGAAGCGCACACGAACTATCAATTAGATAATCAATCACTTAATGAGCGATCGATCCTCAATACGCTTTCTTAACAATCTGTCGATGGATTTCAAAGATACATTCAGTCCTATGTGCAAAGCAGTAGTCAGCAGGGGTGATAAAGGACCAAAGGTTGCTAGCAGCTGCAGGGACATCTTACGTACATACAACCTCCCACCGTCAAGCTTCCATTCCGCCTTCTGCTGCGAGCATTCGCCCTTCTGCAACGTATATGCTTAACGTAGCGAGCTGAGACATGTTGAAGCCATATTATCATTATGATGGATTGGAAGGACCAAAACGTCTATTCACTTAGCGAAAGGCGCAATCTCACTCGCTAATCGCTTGAGAAGAACCAATCCAATAGGCAATCTGAGAATACTTCGAATCGGACACTGGGCGAAGTAGAGGGTCGCAGCGTTCAGATGAGGACATACATGATTAAACAGTGAACGTTGTGGGTATTCTGTATTGTGATAAGTCACTCAGCCGACATACATCTCCCAACCGTCAATTATTCTTCCACTCCGGCTTCCTTTGTGTATTGGCGTTCCTTTCCAATTTCAACACATCTATTCTCAATGTAACGTCAATCGATATAAAAATCATGAAATTTTCTCATGTTCATGGCTTGCTTTCTATCGTGAGTATGTATGTGGAGATAGATTGAATCTTACAGTCGAAAAATTCAATATACGGCTGCTATGAATAAGCATTCTTGATAGTCAATGACTGAAGATGATGGCGTGTAGTAGGAGGAGCGAGTTTTTTCAAGCATGAAAGAAAGTGAGCGTGGTGAGCGGATTTTGCCTATTCGCAATAAGCGGAATTTGCATTACCGTTACCTTAGGATACCTTATATCTCTATCTATATATATATCTCTAGTCATGAAAAAAGATCCTCGAAAGCCACGACCCAGGAAAACCGTACAAACCGTACCAGTCATATGGTATATATCTTAAGCCAGTTGAAGAGGAGCAATAGGTTGGCGTCTGCGGATTGTGAGTATCTACAGCACTTTGTCCCAGGTAAGACATCTGCCGGAAGAAAAAGGGGAAATAATGCTACTCAAACAAAGCTTCAATTTCCACCTCATACATGCTCAAAGTCTGTAACCTCAACGGATTCCCCTTGATCGTCGTGATAAATGGCTTTTCCTTCTTGGCAATGATCAACCGCTCGGACGAGAGCTTCACCACGTCATGACAATGTTCATTGGCTTTTGCGATAAAGGGCTCGAGGCTCCTTTTCACGGCATCAACATCTTCCGCATCCGCATCAGGGACCAGCTCCACCAGAAGAACGGGTACCGAACGCCCAAGGCCGCCAATAAGTGCAGACTTGACGCTTGGGTGCGCGACAATCTCTCTTTCCAGGAGCGAAGCATGGATTCCATCCCCGTGTGCTAGGTAAACGTAGTCGTCACTGCGGCCGATGATTTTCCACATTCCCTTATGTTCCGGGTGCTCGACAAACAGATCATTCGTCTCGAATGTTTGGCGATCCTTATAGAGTTGGAAGATCTGCTGCAAGCGGTATTGGGATCCGCGGACGAAAACAAGTTCGTGGATCCCATTCATGCGGTGGTGTAATTCCGCCCCCGCGTCCTTCTGAAAGGAGACATACTCCCATCTATCTTTGTTTTCGTGGATAACGGTAAAATACCCGCCTGATTCGGTACTGCCGATAGCCGGAACCACATGGGTGTAAGGCGCAAGGAGGTTTCCTGTTTTGGTTGAGAGGGAAGCGCCAACGAAATGGATATACTTTAATTCACGGAGAGCTTGAAGGCCCTCCTGGGAGAGAACAAGGGCGTCAATAAGAGCAGGGTTTATAAGGGCCCCAGCTACATTCCCATAGCGGAGGATATCGGTCACGAGTTCGGCGGTCGGGGGAATGGGAGGCCCGATAACGCATGTTGTATGGATGCAAGTGGTCAGGCTGAGCGTCGCCATCATGCCTACAAACTGTGGTTGTGGGTATTTCCTCCATATTTAGAATAAAATAGGAAAGCTGATCAGAAAACATAACTTACATGAAGCGCGGGCAGTGGCGTGTAGAGTCTTTGTCGGGCCCAATGATGAACTACATTTACTTCAAGGTCTGGCAGTGAGGCCGCGGTGTCGAAGGTGGTCATCATTTGTTGGGCATATGTAATCGCCTTGGGATTTCCTGGTGAAAACCGTCTCGTTAGACTATGATCATTCGAGAATATAAGATGACAGTGGAAAAAGCGATATACCCGTTGTTCCCGAGGTGTGAAACACCAGCCAAGGGTCGCCTTTCCCTTCATCCCAAGTCTTACTATAAATCACTGGGGCTGCTTCGTCATTCCGAAAAAAATCCTCAATCCCAGGGACGGTTATTTGCTGGACATGAGGCGTCTCTCGTAGAACATTACTTATTTGCTCAACCATTTCCGACGGCCGCAGATACAGTTCACAGTTCGTCTGTTCCAGAAGCCGCAGCTGAGCCTCCCGCGTGAGCAACGGCGATGGGAGAACCATCTGTATTCTCGGTTAGCTTTTTCTCCCAGCTACCCCTAATTGTTTCCTGAACATGTTCTCTCAAAATAACATACCACTTTCTGGAGTTTCGCCGCTGCAAGTGCGAAGAGCGGGTATCGCAGATCCTTAGGGCCGGCATAGGCAAAGTGTTGAAAGGATTGGGAAGTCGCGGGAAGAGCTTGGCTTAGCCATCGAGCTGCATGGTTTGCCGCATTGTTCAGTTTCTGGAAAGTGATATCTCGGAACCCCGCAGAAATGTTGTTGTCGTCGATTGGGACAGAGACCCAGGGCTCAGTGTTTGTGCCAGCTTTGGCTCGCGTCTCGATGATAGCCGCTAAAATGCGTTTGCCATGTACAACGCCTGGCACTGGAAAGACAGATGTGGCCATTTTTCTCTTTAGATATTTTAAGATGGTGCTTGCACAAGTGAATAATAACCAAAGGAAACTTGGAGATATAGCAAACTTGAATTGGAGATAATAGTGGAGATTTGCCGTTCGTATATATATAATATACACCTCCCAGCAGGCGGAGCAAACTGCCTGATAGAGAAAGGTAAGAGAAGCCGAGCCGCTTAGAGCACCTATCGCGGTCCTCATAGACTCAGACCCCACATGCTGGTTGTGTCCGCGCCCATACTCTTAAGTCTGAGCTGAGCTGAGCTGCCCGGCTTATCCATTATTTGTAATCGGCCAATCCCTGCAATGAGTAGATCAGGCTCTTTCAGGTCATGTTTATCTCCATACGACCTTGTTTTTTGCGACACATTTAACCAGCACGAAGTCAGAGTTTCCCGGTGGGCTGAGTAAAGGTCGTTCAGCCGGTGAGCATGGGTACGTGAAGCTAGTGCATGGGGCCTAAAATGCTTAGATGAAAGCTTAACTGCCTATTTTCAGAAATAGGGAGCGGGGTATTTGAAATTTGGGTTTAAAGAAATCAAAAAATAAACAAAAGCTTGCAGTATCAAAAAGCAGAGTTTAAACATTTTCCATTGGACTATATCGCTCGTGATATATGCACAAGCAGGCATGCAAAGCCCTCATAAAGTTAATAACGGAAAGAGACAAGTGCTCGCAAGACTATCATATGCCGTGGATAAGAGATGAAAAGGATAAAATTTACCTTCATATCTTAAATTGACTTAGCTTGGGTGGGATTGATACATGGACGCCTTAAGCTCAGATGTCGAAAAATATGCATATATACATGTAAAACGAAGGGGTGCGTAGCTGGTAAGGATGCTTTGCTCGGTATTCATGCAAAAAGTGAGTCAGGGTTCTGTTATAGAGTAGAGGACCGCCTTGGTGGTCCGTCATCCATCTATTTTTGGTATGGAGGATATGATTGGACACAAATCCGACAGTCGACGTAAGCGATGAAGGAAGCAAAACATAGCCAGTCACTTATAGTCGCCTCATTACATGTGAGGTAAAATCTTCAAATGCGTTTTATTGACACTGGCAATATTCGGACGGGCTTGCGGACTCGCAGCCGTATGTAACATGTGGGAAGGTTGAGCTGTCGTGGATGACCGTGTAGATAACATACCAAAGCGCAAGATAACCTCAGAAATGGTGACGATTATTGAGATGCCGATAAGCACGATGATGATCCATGTCTGGCCTATAAGGTTATGGGTTTTAAGCATATGCATTTTGAAATCAAGAGAAGATGTGTGTTGCGTCGGAAATAGTATGCAAATGACAAATAAAAGTTGGTGGAAGAAACTTACGCGACATTTGATTATCAGCAATAGAATCCGACAGGATTTCAGCCAGGTCGAGAAAAACTCTGCACCGCTCGTTTAGGACTTGAATGCGGCGCTTGATCTCCAGGTATTCCCGCACGGCAATATACAGGGGATGAAGAGTGGGTTCGCTATCCCAGAAAAAGGAGGGCACATCGAGCATGTTGGATGCTATTGATTTGTTAGGTTCCTTCATTAGAAATTCCATCCAAACTACCAGAGGGGAAACACCATCCGCCAACCATCCCTCGAACCTTGTGGAAAAGCAGCAAAAAACTTACACAAATTCACCTCAACTCTGCTCTTAAAAAGCTTTCCTAGTATGCGGAATACCTCCTCCCTTTTCATTCCTAGGTGGCCTGTCAATGCTAACCTTCGAGGCACATCCTTGGCCTCAGCCATCTGTCTCGCCATAACCTCCTCGAAGAAGCTCAGCTTTGTGCTCTGCGCTATCCCGTGGCTAATGGCAAGCTTGATCATATGGTCTCCACTGCGCAATGTGATCATATCGTTGTAGACACGGGGTCGAGATATCTGGTCAGAGTATTCGAAATGAAATTCTTCCGTTTCAAAGTCCTCTTCAGGTAACGGCGCGGTTGCAAGGGCGATAGGAGCCCCCCCACTTTCCGACGACGCGAACGCAAGATCGGCTAGGACGTCCTTTTCTTCCCTTTCCGTGAAGTTCCAGAGGACGACAACTCCATAGCTGAAGATGAACATTTCCGAAAATGACAATGCATTGGGTGGGATTCTGGCTGCGGAAATCGTTGTGGGAATATTGTGTGTGTTACCATCCTTGTTCGCACTGTCAGGCAGGCCTCTCTGTCCCTGTTCTTCATCATTGGTGGTTGTTACACCGTTTGTCTCTGATAGTCTCTCACCATCATCACCTTCACGTTGGGCTGTCCGCTCTTCAGCTCCTGCATCGTCAAACCCAGTGGCTTTGACGGAATGTTCATCCTCCTCCGCATAGTATTCATCATGGTAATCCCTCCGCTCATTCCTCTCAATCTCCTCATCCAAAACGGCTTTACCCCCAGCACTTTTCAGAATTGGACTACTCCGAATCCTATATCCTTCCTTTCCTGGCAACAGTGGCAAATGATATGCAGTATATAAGCAGTCGTCATACAGCTTCGTCCTCGCGCCGTGGTATTCCTTCACGAATGCCGCAGTAGAACTAATCTTGTAACCTTGCGCTGTGCAATAGGCAGTCACACGAGGGAGCTTCTGTGCGCGGTGGGCTTTAGGCAAACGTTCCGCATAGCTCTTAGCTCTCTCAGGCGGTACGCGGCGGCGTTTCAGACGCTCTTCCTCCGCCAGAAGTGGCGAAGCTTCGTTATCTTGATCGAAATCTCCAATCGTTTTGCGGGAGATTTGTTGTCTATTAGGGATAATCCGGCGTGCTCCTTTGGATACAGGTTGTCGCATCCGCGGGCCCCGCTCTTCATCTACAGCGCCGGCAAATCCTTCATCCTCCCCGCCCTCGTCCTGCTCGGTCACTGTTTCCGGAAGCAAAACCAATTTTTCACTTGTTTTGGTTGACCGAGGTGGTAAATGTGGTACCGCTGCCAGTCTCCCCACCGCTCTCATCCTCGAGTCCATGCCACTGGATCCCCCAAGATCAGTCGATGCAGTGGCACCCGCTAGAGCCCCTGGCCCTCCAAGCCTCAAGCGAGGTCGGCCCCGGAAGCCGGGTGGTGGATGTCGCTGTTGCATGGAGGGGATATCCGACGTGTATTGGAGAACGTTATCAACGGTTATGAAGCGGGAGGAGTGGCTATTTTGGGTATTGCCACGTCTAGGGTTGTATGCGGAATCGCGAGAGTCCGTAACCTGTTGCCAGATGCACTAGTTAAATCGGATGCCAATTGTATTTAAGCTGCACGGGATGGAATAGGTAGTCCGCAAAATCAAGAAATGCCAGTTAGGCAGCTAGGGGAGTTGGTCAATAAGAGAAACGGAGTAATTGATAACTCACCAACACCGTAGGGCCGCGTTCTCTTTTCCCCTTCCCGCTTCTAGAGCGACTTATACCTTGGTAGGAAGACATAGTACTGCCGGGGTAGTCTTATTCCGTTCACCAAACCCTTCGATATAACCCCCCCCCCCACCGTGGTATACGTTCGTCTCTATCAAGGCCCAGCACGCACCAAAGCTAAGCAACTAGGCTGAAAGCTCAACCTTAACTCCTGCTTGTCGGCGTAATTGCAGATGCTAGTTGAGCAGCAAAAGGTGGGGAGGCTCTGAGGTTCGGACCTCAATAACGGGCTTCGTTTCCTCTCCTTCGTTCCTCTTCGGTCCGCAAAATGCCAAACCAAGCGACGAAAATATTGAGAATTCGCATTTAGCCTGCCGAGTGGTTAGAAATGTCGAGAAGGGACTGGTTTGGCTGAGGTTGAGCAGATGGGAGGCACCAGGGAACCACCAAAACGGGAAGCGAGCTCCGCCACTTTCGGCAAGCAATGACGAAAAAACCTTAGGCACAGCTTTGTTTTACTGCCGGTAGGGGTTGGATCTGGCGTCTCGCTCTCACTCAGGATGTCCACTCAGTCATGCTCGTTAACTAGATCGAAGATGGCTAGTCCATCTGGCAAGGATTGACATCAGTGTGTACTGTGATATAGATCAAAGTTACCATCAAAGTGCATGGGAGCTCCGAACAAAATGTTTCACCACGCCATGTCTTTACCATTGTCAAACCGAATCTCAACGATCAATTACACTACACCACTCTCATACAACAAACATACGGGAGGAGCGTTGCTCAATCTTCCCCTCTCTCTCACCCTGCTCAGTTAATCCCGTGGAGCCAGAACATGCTTCCAAAAGCCTGATTAATCTCCCTCGTATACATACTGCGTATACAACCAAGGGAAGGAAAAAAGAAAGAAAGAAAGAAAGAAAGAAAGAAAGAAAAACCCATCCAACCACCCCCCGGATCGAAAAGTGCTGCCAGCATGTACATACATATTATACTGTATGTACCCTACTGCGCTCAAACTCCTGTATCCAAACCCTCTCCTTCACCATGAAAAGCTCTAGACACGATATGAAGATTTCTTCCTCTTCCTCTTCCTCCTCCTCCTCTCCTTGGTTCAACTTTACTTGAAAACCACCTATCCCGGATCGACTTTGTTTCAGCCAAGAACCCGGCCCCGGGCCCGGGCCCGCCCTTTAACGATTGGAATTGAAGAAATAGACCTCTGTCAGTGGTTCCTGACCTCATTTATTGCTTTTCTCCGCCAGGTTTTTACTCCCAAATTTAAGGGAAGGGTGAAGGGGGGGGGGGGTCCATGGACGTGGAGATTGATCTACGTTCATTCGTAATCTATGTAGGAGCGTTGAGAATGGGAGAAATAATGGGGGGAGAATGTGTGTATATAATGAAATCAGAGAAATGAGCCGTTTCCCACATATTGCATATTGCAGTTATTAGCTCTGAATGCGATTTCGCAGGTGGAAAGAAGGAAAGAGAAAGAGTGGAAGGGAAAGAAGGGAGAAGGAGATCCTACAACAGTCATCAGGCCAGC